AATTTGGGCTATTCAGCAAGCGCAGAATGTAATAAACATGAAATTGGACATAAATTGTACACAACACTACATTAAAACAAGGACAAATAGTTTAAAATTATTAAAAATTATTCTACGCTATACATTATTGTCGGCAACAGGAGAGTGAATGGTATTTAACGGAAATGTTAAGGTGACATGTGAAATATCATATTATAGCTGTCATTAATGCAAACTATTAGAAGCCCAGAATTTCTCATTTCAGTAGTTTGTCTTAGTGATGTTTTAGTTACAAACGTATCACTTAGTCGTCTTCTTTAGTCACCAAAATTAGATTTGAAGAAGGCTACTGAGGCCATAGAGGACACTAAATGCATTCTGCAAAATAAATAATCAAATGTTGAATCTATTTTTGGCAAACTTTACTATGAAGTAAAGGAAATAGCTGAACAAACAAACCTGTCGTCAAAACCAACCTGCTAACTCTTGCGAAGAATATTTCCGAAGATCTATTTATTTACCCCCTTTAGACAATATCTTAACTAATGTAGAAAAACGACTTTCACCGAAAGTTATAAATCTATTTAATCTTCAAGTTGTTTTACCTAAAACTGATAACACACCAAAATATAAAGTTGCACTAAAAAATTTTTGACACTTTCCAGGATATTATTCAACCATCTACTGCATATTCCATAGTATAACAAGAATTTTCACTGTGGATTTAAAAGTGGAAAAGAGTCGTGCAAAATAATGAAAAACTTCTTGATTCCTCTTTTTATCTGACAGTCGTATACCTAACATTGCTCTTTCTATTGTTCTTTCTGTTGTGGCTAGTTTATTCATGTTTGCCTTGGTTAGCGTCCAGGTTTGACATCCATTTGTCATGATAGGAAGGATGCATTGGTTGAACACTTTGCTCCTCAAGTATTGGGGTATTTTGCGGTTCTTAAGTATCCAACTAAGTTTTCCAAATCCTGCCCATGCTAGTCTTGCTCTTCTAGTAATTTCCGCACTTTGGTTCTTTTTGTCAAGTCTCAGGATTTGGCCTAGGTAGATATATTCCTGGATTTGTTCTATCTCACTGCCGTTTATAGTTATATGTCTGGGGTCTTCTGTGTTTGTTATTATTTTTGTTTTTTTCATATTCATTTTTAGGCCGACGTATTGGGAGCTGGCTACTAGTTCCCCCAACATAATTTGCAGTTCCTCGAATGTGCTCGCTATATTCACTATGTCGTCAGCGAATCTGAGGTGGTTTAACTTGTTGCCGTTAACGTTAATGCCATAGGTTGACCAATTTGTAGTTTTGAAGACGTCTTCTAGGACTAGGTTGAAAAGCTTTGGCGATATTACGTCTCCTTGTCTCACTCCTCTCTTAATGGAGATGGGATTTGTATTTTCGTCTAGTTGTACTATCATAGTTGCATTTTCATATATATTATGTATTAGTTGCCTATATCTCGAGTCTATTCTACAATTAATAATAGCTTGTTCTATGGCCCACATCTCGATACTATCAAACGCGTTTTCATAGTCGAGGAAGGCAAGAAATACGAGTAGTTGGTATTTATTTGCCTTCTCTATCAATTTTCTCATTGTCAGCAGATGGTCTGATGTACTATATCCTTTGCGGAAGCCAGCCTGTTCAACCGGTTGGTAATTATCCATTTTGTAGGTTAACCGGTTATTAATAATTCTCATAAATAGTTTGTATACTTGACTGAGCAACGATATAGGTCTATAATTCTGTAGATCACATTTGTCCCCTTTTTATGTAAGAGTATTACTAGACTCTCGTTCCAGTCTTTAGGGATCTGACTATTATGGAGACATCTATTAAATAGCTCTGTTAGTACAGGGATTGTTAATGTTTTGCTTTTTTTTCAAGAGCTCGGCAATTATACCGTCGTGTCGTGGAGCTTTATTATTTTTTAGTTCTTTTAAAGCTCTTTCTATTTCGTATCCCTTTATATTTGGTAGTACTTCTGATCCCACGTTTTTTATTTTTCTTTTGACGTTTTCCTTTGTTGTTTCATTAGGCTGGCCTTGCGAGCTGTACAAGGATGTGTAGAAGTCTTCGACAATATTTGTTTTTTTATATTTGTCCTTCTCTACCTTATTATTAGCGTCTTTAATTTTGATGATTTTTTGAACTCCCAGTGCGGGTCTTAGACATTTTAAGCCTCTGTTGTTTTCAACTGAATATAAAACCGTCTATATATGTAAATAATACCAAACTTGAGCAAGTTGATAAAATCGTCTACCTTGGACAGCAATTAAATTGTAATGCAGAAAATCACGGCGAAATTAGATCCAGAATAGAGCAGGCTAGAGCTGCTTTTAGAAGGATGTCCAAGGTGTTATGTAACAGAGACCTAAAATTGGCATTAAGGATCCGCCTACTTCGCTGCTACGTGTTCTCGATCTTACTTTATACTGTCGAGTCCTGGACTGTGAATAAAATCGATCTAAATCGCCTTGAGGCTTACAAAATGTGGTGCTATAGAAGAATTTTAAAAGTTTCCTGGGTGGAGAAGATTCGTAACTCCACATTACTAGAACGTCTCAGCAAGACTACTGAGATCATAAAAAGCATCAAGCAGAGAAAGCTGGAATATTTCGGACATGTAATGAGAGGTCCCAAATATAGATTGCTACAAAATATCATGCAAGGAAAAATAGCAGGCAAACGCAGTCCAGTCCTCATGGTTGAAGAACTTGCGAGATTGGTATGGTGTAGATACAAGCATGCTATTTAGGGTGGCAGTGAATAAAATTAAAATAGCTATGATGGTAACCAACGTTCTGAAAGGACGTGGTACATGAAGAAGAAGAAGTTGTTTTCAATGACTCGCTCTATTAAGTTCTCGTTCCATTTTTGTATGGCCCGTTTTAGTTCTTTTCTAATTGTTTTATTAAGTTCTTTATATAATATTTGGGTTTTAATAAATTGTTATTGGTTTAATATATCGCTTAAAATAATTAAGAAAATGGTTCCCTTACATGAATACATAAGGCAAAAATCATATCAATCGTAAAGGGATAGGTAATCAGCTTTTATATAAGCTTTTATACCAGCTATTTATATATAAAGATCATAATCCGACCGATAGTGAGCTAATAATGAGAATAACAGGTGACAAATGAGATACAATTATGAAATATATAATATGTATAAAGAACCACCTTTATTCAATATGTCCGCCTACAGCGTCAATTGACAGGCCATCTATGTATGTAGGATGGATGAAAAGAGGCTTCCAAAAAAACTGTTGAATGCAAAAATGCAGGGAAAGAGATCTACTGGAAGAGAAAGTGATGGAAGGATGATGTGGACGAGGACGAAAGGACTCTCCTTGGCAGTAGATTGTGGAGGAGAATGACTACAGATCTTACCGAATTAAGAGTTTTGCTGAGGCCAGCCAGTGCTCGAATTGGGCTGTAGAGCCATGGGATGGAAAAATGACATTCAACGTCATTTTAACAAGTTAAAAGATATGGCAGTGCATCTATTTGTGGTTAATTGAAGATGACGCTCTCATACTGGTCATGCGGTCTCTCGAAAAACTGGTATCATTCTCCATTGTTGGTCTTTATACTTTGTACTTTGGACTTTTCTACGCCCTGTTTTACTTCTAACTTCCCTTCCGTAATAAGCTTGAAGAACTGGTATTTGGAATTTTCAGCTTGAAGAATTGACAGCATTTCTCGTTCTCTTACCATTCGATTTAATACTTCGACATTTGTTCTGTGATCTGTCCAGGGAATTTTAAGTAGTCTTTTAAATACCCACATTTCAAAGGCCTCCAATCGGTTCATCACATTAGCCTTTATGGTCCAGGTTTCTACACCATATAGCAGTATGGGGTAAATGTAACATTTTACAAAGCAATATCGAAGCGTTAATTTAAGGCTGCTGTTCTATCTCTATATCTGGATCTAGATCTTCAGTTATCCAACTACCGAGATATCTGAACTTGGGGACCTTTTAGATGTTCTTATTGTTTACTCTTATATTTAATTGCATATTTCGTGTTCTACTAACCACCATTACCTTCGTCTTCTCTATATTAATCTTCAAGCTCAGTCGTTCTCCTTCAATGTTTATTTTATCTATTTGTCGTTGTAGCTCTTATGGCTTACTAATAGTCTGTCCGTTGATTTTGATTCCATCTTCAGTGTTACTTAAGGCTCTATCGAAAATCGTTCCAGAGTAAAGATTAAAAAGGTGTGGTGACAGAACACAACCCTGTCGTACACCTTTTTCGATTGAGACATATGTAGATTCCAGTCCCACTCTCACAGATACCACTTGATTTATATAAAGGTTCTTTATGATTTTAAGGTCATTATCATCTATTGATCGTTGCTGGAACAGTCTTACTAATTTTGAATGATTAACACAATCGAACGCTTTCTTGTAATCAATAAAACATAGGAAGACATTTTTTTGATGATCTCTGCATTTCTGAAGTAGGACAGTTAAGCTATAAAGTGCTTATCTTGTGTCAAATCCTTGTCTGAAACCGAACTGTGTGGGGCTAATGTCTTTTTCACATCTGTTGTATATTCTGTGTGAATTATCTTTAACAAGAGTTTTAGGACCTGGCTCAATAAGCTGATCATTGGGAATTGGTTGCAACTATTAACGTTTGGCTTTTTAGGGATTGGTATGAAGGTTGATTAAATAAACCAATCCTGTGGTATTTGACCGCACCCATAAATGTCATTAAAAAGATCTACCAAGGCGTCTATATTGTCTTTACTCAACATTGTTAGAACCTCTATGCATATGTCGTGTGGGCCTGGTGCTTTTCCCCATTTGTTCTGTTCGATTGCCCTTAGCAATTATTTGATAATAAAGGTCAGATAAAACAAATTCATTGTGAATATATGTTTCTTCTTGAAGTGGTCATCAAGACACCGTTGGTTTTCCAATTAATTATTTTTACAATTCCTCGATGATTGTGCATTGATTATAAATTTTAAACAGTCTTATTGTTAATCTAAAAAACAATTTAAATAAACATTTAACGTTTTATTAATTACAAAATAACACACATTTTTGTTTTCACTTACGGAAACTGAAAAACTGGACACTAAAACAAAAAAAAATATGTATATTGATTATAAGAGACAAAGTAAAATTATTAGAGTTACCTCAGTAATTTTTGAAGGATTAGCCATACACTTCATGTACTCTAAAGAAATTTCACATTTGCTTTGGCCTTCGGAAGTTCTAAGTCTTTCATCTGAAAGAAATAGGTAAACAATTTACTTATTTTTTACATAATACTAGTTTTTTTATTTATATTTATTTAAAAGTTTAGGGCATGTATAAAGATACTCAATATATGGTTTGAATGTAAAAATTACTATAACAAAAATAAAAGAGAAGCCGCGCAATAAAAAATATCCTACAGCAGCAGAAATTAGACGGGGAGACAACTTTAGTCAGATGGGGTAATCACAATTGAAATCAAAGACTGTCTAGCGGCTATCTAGAAACTTTATAAATTTTATGAAATTAAACCAAATTACCATCACCAATTCATCATAATCAATTAGCCTATATTTGTCCACTGCTGAACGTAGGCCTCCCGTAAAATTTTCCACCTATTTCTATTTTGAGCTTCCTGCATCCAGTTGGTGGTGATGCGCTTGATATCATCCGTCCATCTAGTCGGTGGTCGTCCTCTGCTTCGATATACATCTTGCCTTGGTCGCCATTCCAGGATCTTTCTGGTCCATCTATCATCCGTTATTCTGGCAACATGTCCGGCTCAAGCCCATTTAGCCATGGCTATTTTTTCACCTGCATCTGTGACTTCTGTTCTTCTTCTTATTTTTAGGTTTGGTACTTTATCTCTGATGGTAATACCTAATATTGATCTTTCCATAGCGCGTTGTGTAACTCTTATTTTATCTATTGTTCTTTTTGTCACCCAAATGCCGCCCAAATGGGCGGCATTTGGCAAACTAAGCTACATTCTTAAAAACAAAAGATATCCACAGCATCTTAAGACCAAAGTATATAATCAATGCGTACTCCCTGTTCTTACGTATGGCTCCCAAACGTGGACATTTACAAAAGCAAACATAGACAAAATCATAAAAACCCAAAGAGCAATGGAAAGACAAATGTTGCACATAAGACTAATGGATAAGAAGAGAAACGAGTGGATAAGAGAGAAAACAAAAGTGAGGGATGTTAGACAAGAAGTTGCAAAATTGAAATGGAGATTTGCCGGACACAATATAAGACAAAAAGAAGACCGATGGAACAAAATTCTTATAAGTTGGAGACCGTGGGAATATAAACGAAGCAGAGGAAGGCCCCAAATGAGATGGGCAGATGATATCAAGAAGCACGTGGGCTCTAGATGGATGACCGTAGCGGCAGACAGAGAAGAATGAAAAAGGATTGGGGAGGCCTATGTCCAAAGATGGACCGAAGAAGGCTAATTAGATAGATAGATTAGATCTTTTTGTCAAAGTCAGTGTTTCTGCACCATATGTTAGAACCGGTAAAACGGATTTGTTAAAATCCTTTCTATATAAGGTTGAATGTTCGAATAATTAAACTTTGATAGTATACAAGGCAACTATCGAACACAGTGATTAATTAAATCTTGCCCAAGTACTTTCGATCAATAGATCATCTTCAGGGGCATTTCGTCAGTTGTGGCCTATCCGACATGAGTAGAATGTCATAAAAGTAAATTTGTTATGTCCAATTTTACTTTTATGACATTCTACTTATGTCGGATAGGCCACAACTGACGAAATGCCCCTGAAGATGATCTATTGATCGAAAGTACTTGGGCAAGATTTAATTAATCACTGTGTTCGATAGTTGCCTTGTATACTATCAAAGTTTAAAATCCTTTCTTTTGAAGACCTATCCTTCTTTGTATTTCAGTTGTCTGATTATCTCGGCCTAAGCGAATCTCATGGCCTAGATATTTGTAAGCTATTACTTGGTCGATGCTATGGCTCCCAATCAGAATTTTACCGCTGACTACAAGGTTGGTCATAAATTTTCTCTTTGAGGTGTTAATTTTAAGACCAATTGTTTTTGATACTTTATAGAGCGTGTGCAGCATTTTTGTAGCTTTATCAACTCTATTAGATATTAAAACGATGTCATCGGCAAATCTTAGGTGGTTCAGATCTTCCCCATTTATATTAATTCCCATATTATCTCGTTCCATTTGCTTGAACATATATTCAAGAACAGCTGAAACAATTTAGGGAAGATAGTATCACCCTGTCTAATTCCACGTTCTATTCTAAACTTCTTGGTATCTTCATGAAGGCGGACACAAGCTGTACCAGTTTCGTAAATACTTTTTATGTATAAATAATGCGGCAGTAATTGGCAGTCAGCCAATGCTCGAAGCATTTTATGATGATCTATAGTATCGAACGCCTTTTCATAATCTTCATAAATAGTTTGTATGTATGGGAGTGCAAACTAATCGGTCTGTAATTCTTTAGGTCTGAAATGTCACTTTTTTATGCATTATGGTTATTATTGCATTATGCTACTGGGAGGGGGTTATACCTCTTGTCAAACAAACATTGAACATCTTTTTCAACAGATTTAGTAACGTCACTCCTCCTTCTTTGATTTGTTCATTGACTATCCCATCTTCTGCAGGTGATTTATTGTTTTTCATCTCCGAGAGAGCTGATTTTATTTCCTCTGTTGTGATATCTGGGATGTCTTCTGAGCCTACATTTTGAACTTTTGGTATTTGATTTTGATCAGGATCTGGAAGTTCTTCACGCTTATACAATTCTGAGTAAAAATCATCACCAATTAAGGAGACATTAATTAAGCCAAAAGCTACGAATATCAGAAATAAACACTTTGCCTGATATCAACTTCAACTTCACTATTAGATAATACAGTAGTAGAATGAAGATACTATGGTCTGATTAGTAACCTCCTTTGAAATGACAAGAAAATTATTTTATTGTATTTGATAAAGTCTTATTTTGGCTTTTTACAACGATTACAGCGATTTTCAAACTTACGTATTGTCGATTATCTTTACCAATTGCCATGAGAATATACAGGAACTACTTTGGTAGGTTGCTGGTCTTACTAGAATAGGATTATTTTTTATCTATTCGGATAAGTCTATTTTGGTCCAATAGCGATACTTTATCTTTTACCAACCCGCCGGCTAAGACAAATTACAACAAAAAAGCAATAAACCTATTTTTTATATCAATCCTCAACGACAAATGACAATTCAGGTTTTATTCCCCGAATTAAAGCATATTTAGGCAGCGTAATTAATTTTTTTAGATTTTAAGTATTTATATATATATATATATATATATATATTATATATATATATATATATATATATATATATATATATTATTAGTTCTTAGTATACAAAAGTAAATTATTTTTATTGTGACATGACATGTAGTGTTTACTATGTAAAAATTGTCAATAAACCTATCTATCTATCTATATGGACTAAATCCTCACAGTTGCATACAAGTGCACAGTTGTATGGCTGAAGTGGAACTGGGCGGGTCATGTGACCAGAATGAATGATGGATGGTGAAATCAAAAAATTACAGTATGAAGACCACGAGTAGATAAAAGAAATAGAGGTAGAAATTAATTAAGGGACGCTATGTTTAACTTTGGACGCAGAAGACTAAATGATGATGATGATGATAATATATAAAGCTATATTTTTAGTGGTACTTACTCTTTGGTTTATCAACGTTATCAGCCAAAAAGTTTATATTGGAATCTGAAAAGATCAATAAATATTACTTAAAATCTCTTTATGTAGCAATATGAAAATAATATATCCAGTAAATTAATGGAACTTAATTTACAACAACAATGTAAACTTATAATTTAAAAACTTATAAATCCAAACAATTTTTATTAGAGAAAACGTTGGGTAAAATGTCAAAAAAGTGAAAGAGTGGTCACAAAAACCACAAACATGTAGCTTTACGGGCAATGTTCTTTACTAATTACATATCATTGAAGAGAACTGTAAACTGATCATAACCTTGTCCTTACAGGTAAGTCCAATCCTTTATTTTTTTCCTTTCATTACAGGAAACAAACTGTATTTTGAAAAAAATTTCTTTATGTAGACTAAAACATTATATACTTTTTTTTGAGATTTATCCTTTAGTAGTCGGTTTCGTATTCAGATGTTGATTGTCATCATGTTTCCAATTTCTGGAAATGCTTCTCTTATCAGCTGTTTCGCGAAGTAATTCTTCTACTGTGTAACCATACCATTGACTAATATTATACAACCATGAAAGCTTCTGTCGAACAGTTCCACTCATTTACTCCACCTATCATTGTATTATAGCGCGAAGTAAATGATATTTAGTCCTCTAATTATGTGACCGAGGTATTCTGGTTTTCTCTTCTTTATGATGTTTTTAAGCAGTCTTTCTGAATTTATCATTTCAAGAAAATCGATACAGTACATCGATAGCAGCACAATTCGAATCTTTCCAATTTGTTTAGCATTATGGTTCTTAATGTCCATGTCTCACAACCGTATTATAAGATATGCCATGCATAAATATTTCAGGATCTTTCGAATATGCATCGACCTATTGTTATTAGATAAAACTGGTTTCCAATAACGGAAATAGCGGGTAAAGCGGAAAATCGCTTTCTCATTGATATTGAGTAGATGGCGCCATTTTAAATGCACTTCGTAGTTTCCTATAGATAGTCAATGAATTATATATTTATATATGTATATATATATATATATATATATATATATATATATATATATATATATATTAATGTGATATTCAAAGGCTTAAGTGCGCCAAGCAAATAATTAGCTAATTAATTAATTAATTAAACTTATTCTTATTTAAATGATATGATTATGATTCTATCACACTATTTAATTCTCTTATCTCAGGGTTATACTCGTGCTTCAATATCTATGTTTTACATGTGAGAGGTAAGGTCCAAATACGGAATAATAAAAAAACATATATGATATAACATTATATTGAATAAAAGTATATGAATAAAATTCACACTCAAATATCTTCAATAAACAATATCTCACATAATAATTATCAAACTTTTGTTCTACGTACGTGAACCTTCAAAATTAATGGTACATACAATATGAATTAAAATCTCAAATCACAATTTTTGTTCTAAATCTCCTAATCAAAATATTCCTATCTTTTCTAAAGCAATTGTAAAAATTGTGTTGTTAATAAAGATAACTGATGAATAGCAAACTATCTCTCTGATGATGAGTTATCCAAATCCTTGTTCCTTGTAGCCTACTCTATCGATTCTTAGCAGTCCCCTAAATAATCAACAATCTTACAAAAAATTGTTGAGGGCCTATCGTCTTTATTGATCTCCTTCAAATGCACGTATCGTTCAAATTATGCTAGCCTCTTCTCCTCTAGATAAACTGAATCTCTCGTTTTAGCCTGAACAGTGACTCTTGGAATATCTTCTCCTCGCGATAAACTGAATCTCTCGTTCTAGCCTGAACAGTGGCTGTTGGAATATAAGTAGAAAATATAACTTACAATATTTTACTGGATCAGCTTCTGTCAGATACACTAACTCCACGAAAACTCACAAACATTCACTTCCGTTGCTTCCTACCTCTGGGGAACTACCCGAGAACAACGTCCGTTCGCCTTGCACCCTTGGAAACCAACTGCCCGAATTTTTTCCCTCAAAAAACTAGCTAAAGTCTCATTTTTACAAACCATCCCACCTTTTTCAATCTCCTCCAATCAAAGCTCGCCACAATTCCCCATCTCTTCATTTAGACAACAAACAATAATAATTTTACCTACAATTATAAATTTCCTAAAAACTATTAATATCAGTTAATCGGTTTTTACAAATTCTTAAGAACTAACAGAGAAATATATTTTTAAACATCTATTATATTGTCCTAATTACTGTACAAGTCCATTTGGAAAATCCGCTTGCATTGTCTCCGGTTTCACCAATTTCACTGGAATATATTTTACAAAGAAAATAATTTATGCATATCTTAAATTTTGTTTAATACAGGTAATCCAAAGGTAATGGACTTTCACTTCTTTGAAATATCTTTTGTAGTTTATTAGTCGAATTATTTTAATTATTATATTTTGAACTTTGAAATATATTTAGCAAACCAATATTTTTCTTGATTTTACATATCATGACACCAGAGGGCACTATTGTATTTGTCTCACATGGCGATTTGTGATACCCACGTGCAAGACTGTATATCAGCTTGAGTTATGTAAATATATTTAGTGAATATATTATATCATCAAACAAACTAGGGTAAGTATTTTTAACTATTTTTTCTAAATAATAAACATTATTTATTATTCTCGACCAAAATCACTGAATATCCGCATCATATTTTATAAGTGAATAAGTTCTATACTATAATTTATGGTGTGCATTGAGGGAGGGCATAGTGGAAAGTTCGTTTGTGGCTAAAGTGGAAACTTCTTGCTTTGCCATTATACATATGTTACAATTATTTTATTTCGAAATCTGTTGTTCTATACTCAAATGGTTAATAAATATAAACAGAAGACTACACAGGGTCAATGGACCGAGAAAGATATGGAGCTCGCAATTGCCGAAGCTCGCAAAACGAGCATTTCAAAAGCTTCAAACCTATACAATATTCCATTGGATACGCTCTACCATCACATGAAGAAAAGATCTGCGAAAATAAAGTTGGGCCGCTTCACATCAGTGTTCAGTCCAGTTTTATGGCTTCACGCGGAAACTTCTGCGTTCCATCTCTCAGTAAAAAATTATGTACCACATTCACTTAAGAACAATTATGGTTAACGATGACCCCCTGAACTCTTTAACCACACCCACACTTTGGTAACCGCTATTCTAAATGCATCAATTTCCAGATTCAATGCACTTTGTTATGTTTTCAGTTTAGAGTTAATTGCTTTCCAGTTAATAAGTAAATAAACACCAACCAATATTAATATGTTCAAGGCTTGATATACAACTTATTACTTACTAAACGAATATTTCAATTCCTCACTGCATTTCTCCACCCTCTCTAATAAAATTTCACCGTCGTTATACAAAGTATTTCTTTTGACCCAATTGGACGTTCTTTCAATACATGGGACATCATAATCTGGATTTATCTTAAATTAATTGATTTATAAATACATTAAAAGTTGCTAGAATGATTTCAGTAAACTTACCAACTTCATTTCCGAAAATATGCAGTAATAGTATTCACACTGAAAGAAAAAACATGATTACTACGACTCAATAATAGTATATTGTTTACCGGGTAGGAAAAGCTTAACGTTCCTGGACGACTGTGAAGATTGCTAAGTCGAGGCGCAAGCCGAGACTTAGCAACACAGAGTCCAGGAATGTGGCTTTTCCTACGAGGTAAACATACTATTTTTCCGCAAATCGTTTAAAATTCGACAGATATTGATTGATTTAAAAAGAAACGCTATAATTTTATTCCCAAATAAATGGTGCTTTGAAATTCCTAATAAAATTACTTGGGTTACTATGGAAACGTATTGAGGTTGAATTGTCAAACTTTATGTAGAACACTAACAACTGTAGGGAAATATCATTTCCTTACAGTAAGGAAATGACATTTCCTTACAGTAAGGAAGTCCTGACTTTTTCTTCAAGAAATTTTGACAGGAATGTCAACATTTCCTGGCGATTTGCGGAAAATAATTTTTTTGGTTCAAAAAGCTTCTCTAAATAATAATGACATAGTCATTCTTCTTTAATATGTAAAAATTGTCATTTCTTTTTATAATATTTTTCCTTCTTATGGGCTTATATATTTATTTATTTAATTAAGGATACTAGAAAAATTGTTGTTGTAATTTTATATTTTTATTTCAATATTACAATGGTTCGTTGTCTTGTAGTATTTTTTAAATGATTACCATTATTAGAAAATATACAAAAACTAATACTAATAGAGAAATGATATTATAGAATAAAATAAATTGTTTAAATTTAAAAAGATTAACTACACAATGAAGAAACAGGCTTTTCATTTCATGTATGATTTAAAATATTACATCCAATATTTTGGCTATGAAGAACCTAACAGCAAGTATACCAAAGAGGGCATTTGTAAATGACTTTTGAACAATTCTAGCAAGACTATGAAGAACGTTATGTGACGAGTTCACCCGTCACTTGTAAAGTCAGAACTGTGCCGTCAGCCAACAAGACTATGGCTTCAGTATTATAATATTCACAAAGTGAATTGTTTATTATTTCGAAAAAGAAGCTCCATAAAAGAAAAGTGATTGGAAAAAGCTAATCAAAAGTGTTCTCTTCTAAAAGGTCAACGCACCAGCATACAAGCCCTTTGTTACAGTGGCTGTCATTCGTGAATCAAGTTTCAAAATTGTTGACCAGCTCCCATATTCTCTAGATTTGACTACAGATTTGATCATCCTGAGTGTCTGCAGACTGTTCCTAAAACCCAAAGACGACCTTAGAGGAAACGTTGTACGACCAATGATAAAGTGGTGCTTGTTAAATTGTTGGTTTACGATACAAAAAAAGGTGTAAACACTTTCTTGTATTCTTTCTAGGTCAGAGGTGGACCGTAGCGATCAACCCTCATAATATTTGTAATCTATTGTTTAAATTTTCTTGGCCCAATTTCACCAAAGAAGGTAACTTTTCTATTAGTTTTTTATGTTCTACAACAGTGTCATGAAGGGTTAGTGGTTGGAACCAATTTTCATAATCGATTTTTATCACTTAAAACTATTCCGTGGTATGGTACGAGGTAGAAGAAACGCACGGAGTATCGTATAAAATCGTCTTCATATTTTGACTAAGTTCCTTCTGACCCTTAAGATCTTTTATATATTTTTTTAAGCGAAGCTTTTTACTGGCGTTGTATTTATTTTTCTCTATAGTAAAATACAGAGCAGATCGTCACGACACAACTGGTTTGTGTCGTGACGATCCACCACGACACGAAATCGTCACTACTATTTATACTTGCGTTGTATTATTTTTTTAATATTTTATTAATTTGTTTATAAATTTATTTCAAACTATACTCATTTTATTTTTAAACTTATTTATTTAGTTTATATAATAATTACATTTACTGCCAAATGATATTAATTTATATTTTATTATTTGCTTAATAGTTCGTCTGACTTTAACAGGTCTGTCAGAAGTAAACAACTTATGCTTTGTTGATATGTTAGCAGATGGCGTTAGGAGCAAACATAATAATTTATTGAATAATGTAGGCTTTGTTGTGTTGTCTAGGGTGTAAAATAAAGCTTTGCTTACTAAAAGTATTTATTATCGTCACTACAATTGTTCGTTTAGATAATAATGTTCGTGCACAATAGCAATATTACTCTTATTCGCAAATGTCTCGTGTCTATCGTCGTACCGTCGTTTATCACTCGATAGCGTCGTTGTGTATGATTTCTGATTTCGCACATACCGTCGTCAATGTATGTTCTAGCACATATCGTCGTTTGTTTCGTCACTTTGTATGCCGCACAAGCACATACCGTACTTTCGTCATTCCCGGCACGCTCTGTGGCCGTACCCTTCGGCAGCTAACCGCTCTCTCTACTACGTCTTATCACGTCGCTCTCTCGTCGTCGAGTCCGTACCATTTGCCTGAACACCTGGTTCCCAGCGCTCGAACAGTGGCGTAACGATAAGTTCTAACTTAAGACTAAAGTAACTAATTCTTACAATAACAATATTGAAAATGATATTGAATATAATATAATATAATATATTTTGTTTAAAATATAAATAATAAATAAATAATAAAATTACTCTATTAAATTTTAAAAATACTATTGAAATTTTAGATATATCGAAAACTCAATATAAAACTCATTTTGTGATAGATTTACGATTTTAAATATCATCTACAAAAGTTTGCTTTTACATGATGTTTTACTAGATATTCTTTCACTAGACAAGAGCATTCGTTATTAACTATATTAGAATAGCTTTGAAGTCTTCCTTTCTATGTTAACACAGGTCGTATAGGACTGAGGTCTCTTGGGCTTATTGGCTTGTAGATCCTCGCTTGCTATGTTCAGAAGGTTGTCAGTCCAGACATTTTCTTTGAGTTCATAAATACATGAATACATTTCTGAGAACAGAATAAACTCACTAAGCAGATCATGGATCTTCTTCTTTAGGTGCCGTCACTAATGGAGGTTGGAGATGACTTCTCCAAATTTACCTCTATTTTGGGCTTTTCTTATTAAGATTTGGGGACCTAATCCCATTAATTCCTTCATGTTACGCATCCATGTTATTTGTAGCATCCCAGGATCGCGTTTTCCTTCTATTTTCCCTTTCATTATTAGTTGAAGGAAGTTATATTTCTCTTGTCTGAATATATGTCGAATATTATTATACATATAAGCGGGATTAGCAACTCGCCTTTTACTGATAAACGGTTTCGGGCGGATGAGCTAACTGGAAGGGCACTATATTTTCCTGAGATTGAGAAATTTGTCTCGAAGGCGGAAGAGCCAAGAAAAAGGTCAACGGCATCAGAATTCAGAAAGCAACGAGAAACCACTGCATTAAAAGTCCCTTGCGACATCTCTAGTACAGCTATCATGACAAACACAACTAATGTGGAAACAGCTACTAATCATGGAATACGGAAGCCAAGATTGGGCAGGCGAGGTGATTCACCTTTAGATCACAGGGCTTCCCAGGTCGTAATCTAGAGAAACCCCTGAGACAGAACAGAAAAATTGTCTCTAAAAACTTCAGAGTTGATTATCAAAATATGTACCTGGAAAGTGAAGCCAATGTATCAGGCTGGAAAACTTCATAATACCATATAAGAAATGATCAGACTTGGAGTAGGTATAATGGGCATAAGCGAAATGAATGGCCAAATAGTGGTGCTTGTACTGTTGATAACCATATGGTATACCACTCGGGAAATGATGACGGTCAACATATGTGTGGTTTGAGTAATCGTATCTCCTCACTTACATCAATATGTTACAAATGTCTGTTAAAAATATCTGTTTCTGAAAGATTAATATTAATCCAATTGAATACTACTTCGGTCAAATTAAATGTTTTACAAATTTATGCCCCAACCAGCGCTAAAAAAAAACAGGTAGAGCAATTCTATGAGTTGTTGATAAATTTACTTAAACAAATTAAAAAAAGAAGATATAACTATTATTATGGGCGACTTGAACGCGAAAATTGGCAAAGGGAAAAGCGGTAAATTAATTGGTGATTTTGGTCTAGGAAGGAGAAATGAAAAAGGAAAAAGATTTTTCAATATTAACAAGTATTTGTCAAGGAAAAAGAGTTTGCAATATTAAATACGTTCTTGAAACTACCACCAAGACGTTTGTATATTTGATCACTATCTTGTATACTATCAATCAAATTGATAGTATACATAATGGTGGAAGAGATTCCGTAATGGATGCCTATCAGCCAAAAGTTACCCCGTTGCTGACGTATCGTCAGATAATATTCCTGTTGTTGGTAAATTTAGGTTTAAATTTAAAAAGGTTAAAAAAAGGAATAGTAATAATAAATGTGATATTAGAAGACTAAAAGATAAGGAAACAAATGAGACAGTCGCACTAAATCTTTCAAAGAAGCTAAGTAACATGGAGCAAATATATAATCCAGAAGAATTATTCCAGAATATATGTGAAGTATTTAACAAGATCAGAGAAAAACATCTAATAGAAAATAAAGAGAAGAGGAAAAGTTGGATGAATGACAATATACTGCAATTCAAGGAAGAAAGAAGAAAATCAAAATATAACAAAAGAATGTACTGTAACGATGTGATGATTGTTCAACAGTTCGAACCGTGGGAGTGTCGATTCGCGCATCCTATTTCACGACGAGAAGACGAAGTGGGATTCGGAGCGGCTATTTAAGGCGAGCGACTGACGGAATTAGATAGTCTTGTAGCTAGCGCTCTAGGCTCCCTGACTTGCTGGTGTAGTGAACCTGCGAGCCAACCCGGACAGAGAGATTTCCGTATTGAGGATCGTACTCTGTCCTTAACCAAGCAGAACCTATCGGTATCGTGAAAATAATAAAAAGGTAGTTTACAACTTTTAATAGAGCATTACTATAAATGGTATAAAAATAAATGACTATGTGAGATTTTTAAGAATTGATTATTTCGGGCTTATTTTGTTAAGTTGGAAAAATAAAATGGGTATTAGTAAAATTACACAAATATCTGAGTTGTCAAGTCAATGGTGATTGAATTATATTTTCTGGCTTCAGTCACTTAATGATAGTTATAAACGCAGTAACTGAACTTAAAATTAAAATAAATTAAATATATATAAATAAAATTAAAATAAATATACATAGAATGAAAAAATACTAATATTATATAAAAACATACTTTTTGAGGTTCCTCTTTCTCTACATCCATTCCAAGCTTTTTCTTAGCAAAATTCATAATACGTTTCTGAGTATATTGGAGACGGTCTATGATTTCCACTTTTCTAGACCAACATACATCTTCAGCTCCTAATAATGATCTAGCTCTCTCACAATCTGCATTTACCTAAAAAAAATTATACTATTGTTATTAGGTTTTCAAACTCCATTCTGGGTGGATTGAGTAGCTCAGAAGTCGCGTTCATGCCCACAGCCGGTCCCAAGCCCGAATAAAAGAGGAGGGTTGATGGGCCAGGTTAGCATCCTACCCATTGTAAAAGGAAACAAGGCTCAAAGAACTGATATTAAGCCTCGGAACCAGACGGAACCTAAGATGACGAACCAAGTAAAGAAAAGGAAAGCGAAAAGGAAAAATAAGCCCACAATCAGATTAGCAACACGGAACATTACTTCTTTCAACAACAAAGACCAAAAGGTAATAATAGAACTGATAAATAAAAACATAGACATTTGTGCAATCCAAGAAACCAAGAAGAAAGGTAAAGGCCAAATAGAATATAACCGATATTTCCTTGCATACAGTGGAGTGAAGAAAGAAGAACGAGCACGAGCAGGCGTAGGTATACCTGTCCATAAAAAATTTAAAGACAACATAAATAACTGCCGTCATATCTCCGAAAGAATAATACATATGAACATCACAATGTACTACCAAAAATTAAATGTCACATGGAATACTAACACAGTGTATACCAGTACAAAGCGGTCAGATAGGGTGACTCGTTGAGCCCACTTCGCTTTAATATAAAGGTATAAAGTAGTACGTAAAGGTCATCGCTACAGAATGGGGAACAAAGAAATCCAAATATTATGCAGACGACTCCGCATTAATTGCCGAGACAGAAGACTAGCTCCAAAGATTAACACATATCTTCAATACAACAGCTAAGAAATACAATATGATAATATCAATAAAACGATCGAAAACTTGGTATAGACAGACATTGAAGTGACATGGACTGCTCTTAAAACAAAAATAACAAAGATACAAGAAAAAAGATCAATCACAAGGGTACGCAGATCATGTACCTCATGGACGTAAGACGAAAACATAGAACAAGTCTAATAGAATGCAAGCGAATCAATAAAATCATTAGAAAAAAGTGAAGGGAGACGAAAGAAAACTGGATGTCAACAAAATGAATATTAAGCTTGATGTTTCATGTCCTTCAAACTTTTCTCAGAATTATCCATACACGAATTTGCAAGTTCGAGTTCCAGATGAGTGACACTCAATTCGGATTTCGAAACGTATTGGGAACACGAGAGGCTTTTGCTTTAGATGTGTTAACGCAACGATGCAGAGACATAAATGTAGATGTATATGCATGTTTTATTGACTATCGAAAAGCATTTGACTGCGTTAACCATCAACAGATGATCGAAATTCTGAGCACAACTCGAGTTGACGAACAAGACTTGCGAATTATCTCAGAACTATACTGGCACCAAACGGCAACAATTAAAATAGAGCACACAATATCCGAAGATATGCAAATCCGACGAGGAGTGGACAGCGTTGCGTCTTATCACCGCTATTGTTTAATTTGTATGCGCAGTCTATATTCAGAGAAGCATTAAACCAGGTCCAAGGCGGAATTAAGATTAACGGAATCAGCATGAACAACATCAGATATGCTGATGATACTGTCTTAATATTAAGCAACGCACAGGAACTACAAAATATAATAAATGCGGTACCTCACCACGTACCGCACGTACATGTTTATGCCAAGGTTCAAATAATAGAACAGGTAAATTCCATAAAATATTTGATAACAAATATCAATAGTCAGTGTAATCCAAAAAAAGCAATACTATCAAGAGTCGAACAAGCAAGGAAAACATTCATGAGCATGAAAACATTTTTTACAAGATCAAATTCTGCAGCTTAGAATCCGAATGATTAGATGTTACTTTCTTCTGTCTTACTGTATGGCTGTGAAAGCTGGACAATGGACTCTGAAATAAAAAAAGAATAGATGCCTTTGAGATGCATAAATACAGACGAATGTTGAGAATAAACAAAAAGAATTACTAAGAATAATCAAATACAGAAAAATGTAATACTTGGGTCATGTGTTGAGAGGCGAAAGATATGAATGACTTTAAGTTATACTAGAAGGAAAAGTACAGGGCAAAAGATCAGTAGGAAGACGCCAGAACTCATGGCTGAAAGACCAGAGGAGATGGTTCGATCGCTCATCCGCAGAAATCTTTCTCCCAGCAGTTTCCAAAACTACAATTGCAATTTGGATCGCCAATCTTCGAAAGGAGACGGCGCCATGAGAAGAAGAATTACAAATAAACAAACAGTGACGGGATGTTTATGAAAATGTATGTATATTTCTAATTACAGACAGATCTATTGCTACAATATATACATTATTAACCTAATAATTTAAGAAAAAATTACCTGCGGTACACTAACAATAACAACTACCAATGTGGTTAAAAACAATCCAAAATTACACATCTTTGCAATATTCAAAATTACTGAAAAACAATTATTAAACCGAAATACATCCAAAGTAGAGAATAAACAAAATATATTGTGACAGTCGTATTAATTATGGCATTATATCTGACTACTATTAGATTTATATAACATAGCTTTACTAGAACTGTTATTAGCTTTGTATATCCTGTGTAATATAATGATTTAATTAACTTTAAAACGATTTAAATTATCGGTTGGTTTTTAGCGAGGTATTTATTAAAAGCTGTAGGTTCAAATATAGCCAGTTATTACCAAAATGTAAAATTGGACGCGGAGTTAAATGGTTGATGAATATTTGATTAGATTGTATATAATAAGAATCAATTATATAGAGCTCATTTATATCCGCTAATTGTTTAGGCGTATATCCATCTAGGCCTTTTGGTTCCACTAGTTGGCCATTTGTTGACAAAATAATGTTATCATTTAAACATTTCTTAAAAAATAGCTGACATATTTTTGTGTCGGTTTTAGAGAATGTCATTAAAAATCTGTACTGGAGTCAAACTGCTATCGTAAAAATTGAAGACAATTACACCGACGAAAACTCCACTCAACGAGGAGTCAGACAAGGTTGCATTTTGTCCCCAATATTGTTATTAGGGAGATAGAGCTCAAGTTGAACATAAGAAATACCAAGTGGTTAGAAGTAAGCAAGCAAAGAAATATGTTATAAAATATTGAGTAAAAGCATATTATGCTTTTAACAGTACTAATGTTTGCCTGCACACCTAATTAAACTGGAACGGCGTGCAAGTTCTAAGGTCCTGTATAAAACATGACCAAGACCCCTTTTTTTACATAAAAAGTGTAATATGTAATCGCGATATCAGTCTACCGTTAAAGGCTCATATTCTTCGATTTTATGTCTTCAGGATGGATATAGGTATGAAATTCTTGACTATGAATTCTGTGTTCAAGAGCCATGACCATGACCTCACCCTAGAAACAAAAATAAGGCTCCTGAAATGTTATGTGTACTCAGTGCTTCTGTACGGAGTAGAAACGTGGACATTGAAGACGGAAACCCTATCAAAACTTCAGGCTTTTGAGCTATGGTCATTACTCCCTGATAGGAGTTACTTCATGTATTTTACAAGGTTAAATTGGAGGAAAAAGGGCCCCAGGACGAAGAAGAATATCCTGGCTTGTTAACCTGAGAGCATCCTATAGAAAGACCTCAACACAACTATTTCGTATAGCAACCAACAAAATCATCATAGCCAGAATGATCGCCAACGTTCGGAACGGACAGACTCGCTATAGAAGAATACCCTAGAAGATTACTAACCGATGTCATAAGTAAGAAACGAGGTACAAATAATATAGCAGTACTAAACAAACTAAATAAATAAACAGAAATAATAGCACTGTAAAAGAAAATAATTAGAATTCATTGAATACATATGTAACACATACAGCTGGACATGTTTTATCATCTCTAGATGCCATGGGTCCTGAGATAAGTTTGATTTTGATCAAACTGGGCAGTGGAGGAATTACTACAAGTATTGGAAGACATTTTTAGAATTAAACAGTGTCATGGAGTAACATGAGAAAATAGTATATTGTTTGGCAGGTTTATACGGAAAAATTACACATCTTTATAACAAAACTTTATTTTATAAATAGTTACACATGCAATGCTTGTTAACCAAATAAAAATCCTGCAACAGTCTCGATTACTTTTTCTATTATAATCTTAACGATAACCTTGGCTGTTTTCTTAAAAAATCCAGTTGTTTCATTATTTTCTTCAGTGTCTCTTTTACTTATTTGCTTTCCAAAAGGACTCTGCTGAACTGTAAGAGAAAAAATTAGTAATTTTGTTAAATATTATATATATATATATATATATATATATATATATATATATATATATATATATATATATATATATATATATATATATTATATTTAATAGATTTACCTAGTTAACTCATATATATATATATATATATATATATATATATATATATATATATATGTAGAGTTAACGTTAAACTCAACATACTTTTTATATAAGGACGAAATATACCAACAAATGGATGGATGTGCAATGGGTGCAAGTATTTCTAGTGTCATTGTCCAACTGGTTCTGGAAGACTTAGAAGAATCTGTCATGAGTGATTTAGATTTTAATGTATCATTCTTCTACAGCTATATCGATGACTGTATCTGTGATATTCCAACAAATAAAACAACCGAAATTTTAGATATTTTTAACAGTTACCATCCAAAATTAAATTTCACTATAGAAATTGAACAAAATAATAAAATAAATTTTCTGGATATCACCTTACATTGCATTAACAATACAGTTAAAACCATGTGGTTTACAAAAGAAACATGGTCTTCACGATATCTTAACTACGAAATTTGTAATGATAAGTCTCACTGATAAATCTATAAAACTAACAGATCCAGAATACAGACCAACTGCAATAAAAAAAAAGCAAAAAATGCCCTTCTAAAGAATGCATATCCCGAACACCTAATCGAAACTATTTTCAAATCAAGACTCAATAAATTTTATAACAATACGACTAACAACAAACCCAACAGTATTAAAACCACTTATACAACTCTTCCATATATAAAAGGTTTATCCGAACAACTAACAAATCTTTTAGCCAAACATAATATAACAGTGGCCCACAAAGGCAACAACCTCTTAAATAAATATTTCACAAAACTAAAAATACAAACTCCAAAACTTAAATGACCGAACCACTTGGGTGTCTGATAATGTGACCGAAATATTCTTTCTTGCGTCTCTTTATTATATTGGCCAGTTGTGTTGTTTTTTTCAGGCACCTCCTCGTTTCCTACTCTGCCAATCCCGCTTATTCGTAATAGTCCTCTATTTAATCACATCTTAAAGCTTCCAAGCATTTAAGCATTGTCTCGCTTAGGGTCCACGCTTCCACTTCATATAGTAACACTCTTATACTGTTTGTGCAAGGTTAAATGGAGGATAAGACATCCACTGGATCTAGACAAAACTGCCAAACAATTTCACGAGGTTTTTATGATGGCTTTCTAAGACAATTGTCCGGGATAGTAAGGAATTACAAATTTTAAGTACTCTGCTGAAACCATCTCACAAATCGAAGGACAAAAGCCAATATTTATTTCGCTAGAAGATCAGGTGAGTGGGACGATCATTGCTAAGCTCTGCCAAATTCCAATTCTCTTATATAATCTGCTATTGTATTTTTCTTTAGTCTTTACATTAAATTTACTTGCAATAATTATTTCCCGATTATTCTTACTCGTATCTATTTATTCCTATTTATTGTTAAACTAGTTGCACAAATAGTTCCTTTTTTATCTGGACTGTCTTTTCTTGGACCGCATGCTGTTACCTCGGCATCTTTTGTTCTAGAGCCTGATAATTTCCATGCACCAGTTAAAAGTTTCTCCGTATTTAATTTTTGTTACCGTGTAGAGATATGCATCGCCTCGGTCCCATCAGCGTTTTAGACACACGCATCTTCGACGGTATAAATGAGCAGCCGCTGCAAGAGAAAGAGCAGTTCCGTCGGAGTATTGATAGGACAATAACTCCACTGGCCTTAGGGTATTGACTGAAAGCCAACTGCTTCTGCTAGGATATTAATCTAGTGGCAGTTCCGTACCCGGTCTTATATTATTGATCTGAGACAGACCTCTCCGTCCGGCTCGTGGAGATGAAAATACAGCCGGGGAAAGTTATCACTACCTGTCGTAAAAGGTGACTAATGGGAAGGAATAAGAGGTGGAGAGCGACCTTTCACCTTTCCGCCCCGGGGATAACGAAGGGGTGTTCGTGTCGCAACACAGGTACTACGGTAAGGTTGGAGCCCCGCGATGCTCTATTCGCTACCCTCAACTGGTGTTGGACTCATAGTGGTTAGTGGCTAGCTAAATGTCGTATGCCGAAAGGCCAGGTAGACCTGGGTCCCTCTGGCATTTATTTGTCGGAGGTACACGAACTTCTTCATGAGACATACCTATTCTCTACTGTGACCAAGTACTGATTGATCATACTCCGTTCCTCGCCGGGCCGAGTGTTGATTGGCCCGTGTCATCTCTATTTCTTCGACCCGTTCCTTTCCGTCTTTGTGTATTAATGCACCAATATTGTCGTTTAGATTTTATATCGTTAATTGTATTTTATTTTTAGCAGATATTAAACAGTGGGTCATACCGCCGTGGATGCCGTCGTCGCCAGATTGACGCTCTTAATTTTTATTGTACATATTACTTAGGATCTAATTTTATTTTGTTATTTATTATTTGGGATATATTTTCATTTAATTTAAACCTTTGTGTTACTGAGTCTGATGTCTAAAAGAGCTATCCGTCACAACCGGTGGTGCTTTGAAGCTGAGTTCTTAACACTTAAAGTGTTATTTTAAATTCAGTACTAAAGAAGCTAAATGATATTTATAATTTAATAGTTAAGTTTATTTTACAGTTACAAGTATAATAATAGATCCTCTAAATATACAATATCATTTTACAGTCACAGGTACAAGGCAATACAGTTTAATGTTTTTTTGTTAGGAAAATAGTTTTCAGCCAAATATAGATCCCACCAAATTTATAATTACTTTTTCAATTATGAACGTGATTACCGCATTAAATACTTTATTAAAAAATCCTGTCGTTTCATCCTTTTGTTCATCTTCGGTATTTCTTTTATTTATTTGTCTTACAAGAGGATTCCGATCGACTGAAAAGAAGAGGTACAATTAATAAAGGTTAAACGTTCTTAAATATTGCATAGAGTTGTACACATATTTTGTTCCCTTTGAAAATAGTAGTCTTCATAAAAAATGTAAAGCAAATATTATTATAAAAGCTGCATCCTGTGTTGGCGAAAGCTATGAAGTTAAATATTGTCGTACTATAGGCTTATAAATAAATATATTTACATATATTAAGACCGCTCGTTTTATTGGCAAAAACGTTACAGTGGTGTTACGGTGTGAGGTAATTTATTTATTTAAAAATAGATTCAGTAGTGATTTTTGACAAAGACTTAATCTTTTGAAAAGTTTTGTTCATCGGGAACAT